ATATTTTGTTATATAAAAATTTATATATTTTTTTTTTTCGAGTCTTTTCGAGCCGAACACGAGCGAACAAACTGCTGTTTGTGTTCGGCTCGTTTACATTTAGAGCTTAAAAATTTGTTCGTGTTCGGCTCGGTAGGCTTAACGAACGAGTCGAACACGAGCTGCTTAACGAGCCGAACACGAGCTATTCACGAACGAGCCAAATTGATAGCCCTACTAATACGGTAAGTTCGATCCCCATCTCCCTTGGATGCAAGTTTCATTCTTGGGCATTTCATAGCCCCAACTCTGTTAGGTAGGCTGACATATAACCAATAAGCCCATTAGATTGAGTCCTCAACTCCTTTGGCTATCTTTGTCTCTCTATAAAGCTGTAAGTTAGCTTTCCTTTTTTTAGATATGGGCCCACGTTTGAGCCTTTTTATTAATGTAAGAATCAGTTCTGCATTAAGCTATACCAATGATATAAATCTTGAGCCGTAGGATCAGCCAAAGTTGCAAGTTCTCTATCTTATAGTTTTTTATATGCCCTAATGTGATTGGTCAGGTTAGATAAAGTTAGCTAACCTGACAAGTCAAGCCTCAACTGGAAGCCTCGCTTTGCTTAAGGTTGTAGGCATCTTTTTCTCTATGATCAAAACTTTAAGTTTCACATCTTTAGGCTTTTTAATGATTTGTAAGTCTCACATCTTAGGTCCCTCTAAAATTAGACCTGTATGCTCCAATCTCTTGGCCTCTGTAAGATTAGACTATAAGTCACAACCTTCGGATATCTTTTGTTGCATAAATCAAGAAAATCAATCACATGATTTAGTGATTTGTGAGAAAGACAAGGAAGAAGCCCAACAAAATGACGTGAAAGCCCAAAAATGAAGAATGGCCATATAGCTTAAAATAGATCTCCACCATGTATGCTTCAGGGTATTCACCCTTTTACTATGATTTTGAGGTCATTCTTGAATATTTGAATTAAGCATCCATACCTTTGAGCCCAAGTCAGTTTTGTGTGAAATCTTGAATTGTAATCTACCATATGCTTTTTTTTCCGCTGAGCTAACATCTTTATAAATAGACAAAGCCAAGCCATGAACCTTTAGTGGTTAGCCAAGTCAGCAATGCTTGTACCCTTGGACATGAATCTTTGGACCTCTTTGAAGTTTGCATCTCTTTCCGGATTGCCATTTATCTCTTCAACTGGAAGTTGGTTCTCCTCTCCTCACCAACTTCAGTGCTTGCAGTGTCGTTACTCAATTTTTTGATGACACCCCGCTCAGTGAAATTACTCCTTTCGTTGTGGATCCTGTTTAAATATGTCTAAAGCCACGGCACTTGCAACATTTTCTGGCTTTGATAGTTTTGCGGATTGGTTTCGTTGGCTAGTAGCAAAGGGGGTCGCTTGATGATGCATTTTCTCCACTTCGGAAACTAGATTCTGTGACTTTTGGTGGCAATAAGTTAGCAGGAACTGGCGCTGTGTTTTCGGCTTCATCTTTTTATCTTCTCGTTCCCCACTTCGATCTTTTGGATCACGGTCGAGGGTAGCCTTCTATTGGATTTTATCTTCGATGTTCATAATCCACCGCCGAAGTCGGCAGATCTCTCGCTGTATCTCCTCCCGAGAAGGCTCAGACATGTATCTCATTGGTGGGATGGTTAAGGTTTAGGAATAGGAAGGAAAAAATTTTAGTGGAGGTGAAAGAGGGTAAAAAATAATTGGGTCAATGTTGTTGATTTGAGAAATTAGCTAGGGGAATTAGGCGTAGGAACATATGGCAGCGGAACGGGTATTGGGTGGTAAGAAGGAAATTTGTGGGTTATGGGGATGCTAGGAAATCGTAGGATAAGACTAGGGTTGGACTAGCTCTGATACCAAATAATAGGATTAATTTCTTCTAGAGGGAGTGGGTCTTTTTTAATATAATTTATTTTGGATCTTATTTTATTTTTTTCTCTCTTTTTTTATCATTTTATTTTTGTTTTATTTTATTTTTTTTGTTACTGTCGTTGTTGTTTTGCAAGAAAATTTCTTTTTATTGCTGTTATGTTTCATCGATGGGCTTCCCCCTTTGACTACTAAATCATTTGGCAGACATTAAGTACCAAATTCATTTAAACCACTGACATGATAAATTTCTTGAGAGAAATGGTTGATATGTCATTGTCTCTATTGCTATTTTTACACGCTTAATGACATTTGGTCTCCATATCATTCGAAACAGGTCGTGAATTTGATTCCTTTCAATCCAATTGGCACTTTCAGCAGCTTCAGAGCTAGCACGCAACAAAACGTCAAGCTTTTCCAGAAAGTGCTCAGAGGCAGCTACAATATCCGAACCACCATACGGCAGCAAATGGGCGAAGACATATCCGGTGCTTGCGGCCAGCTTGTGGTGAACCTTTCAGAACAGAGATCTACTGGCAATGAAAGGCTTTTGGCTGACATTGAAGATCTTCATATTTAAGCATATGGAGTTTGAAGATTTTCCGCCTGTCTGTAAGTAGTAGTGACTCGGATTATCTGTATATTTACAATTTTTGTGAATTTTATCCTGTTTGAAAACTTGAATTTGCAGGCATTGCGAATTGAAATTTTGTGCTTCTCACAACATGGAACTGGGTTAATTTTCTTAATGATAAAACTTGAACTTGCAGACATTTTCTTTAGCCAACTTGAACGTCTTCAGCTAGCATGAAACCATTTGTTTTATGATCCTAGTATGAATTTTTTAAAGGGGGTGATAAGAACTTAGGAAACTTGAAACGCACTTGATATTTGAATTTTTAATTGAAATTGCCCTGCCTTGAAATTTGAAACTCTTCTAATTTTGTTGTGCATCATTCAAGATTTGATTTTATTTAGGTTAAATTTATTATGTAGTTATTTATATTTGATTTAATATATGCTGAAAGTAAAATAATAGGCATGATTCTAAAAATAGGACTTGATTAACCAATCCCAGTGATTCAGTTATGAACCAGTTTGTCAGCTAGTTAGACACAATCCTAAAAGTGCTTTCATATAGAATCAATCGTAATTCGTTAGAACAAGCAGTTGAATTGATTTTGAGTTTGGATAGGCTGACTTTTTCTAATATTGTTTAATTTTTACTATTTGATTTTGATATGATGGTTGGGAAATAAACTATATGTTAAAAATAGGTTCTAAATTAAAATATATTGCCCCAAATTTTGATTTAGAACCATATTCAAAATATATAAGTGGATTTATAAAATAATTTTATTGTACATTATTGTACCGTTTAAGTTATATTAAAATAATTTCAATATTTATTATGTTATTATGTTCATCTCTCAGTTTAACCACAGTTTAACCTTGAATCTTGTACCTCTCATTCTGATTCAATATCAGATTTCATTTTCAGAAAACTGACAATAGGTGTTCCATTTATTAGTACTTTATTGCTCATCCAAGAAATTTTGGTTCGATGCCCCACTCCTCTCATCCATTTTTTTTTTAAATTGATTTCAAGCATGACTAACTTCTGAGATAAATTCTTGTGTTGTTTTCAGTTTTTAAAGAATTATTTGATGAGAAAACTTACTATCAACATAAGCATTTAAATAGTTATTTTAATGTTTAACTAATAAACTCAATAAAACCTTCTAATTATACATAATTCACAGCACTCCCCCTCAATATGGGCGAAAGATATTCACTAAGCCCATCTTGTCATATAATCTAGCTAACTACACTGAACTAAGGCTCTATTTGGGACCGTTTCTTTCATGCGGCACGGTCCCAAACCGTGAAAATTTATTGTTTTGTTCCTAGCTTCGTGACCGAACAACGCTAAAATGGGCGAGAAGCAGGCCACGGGATCGACCCCGCGGCCCCAGCTTTCGCCTAGCTAATATTCAAAATTGCTCTCATGACTTCTTTCCTCTATCTCGCACGCAAGACCACACCGACATGATCTTCGTTTCCTCATGACAGAGTCATGATTCTCTTTGTTTTTCCCCTAGATAAAATAGATCAATCCTTCACAGACAAAGACCACAAGCAATTCCTTGTAGTTCTTCCCTGCCATCACGAATCCTCAGTGTGACCCAAGAGCTACAGAAGTCTCATACCAACTCTTTCACTCTTAACCACCAAAGTCGCCATCTCTGCTCTCGCTCAACACACCGAATCTTCGCTTACTTCACTCATCATTCTGCACGACAGTCGATCGCACGCCACGATAGAGTCGATCACACGTTTGTCTGTTCACGTGAACCGTTCAAACTATCCACCTCTCTTTAGCCACTAAAGCCTTAGTTGTCGAGTCAATGGGAAAGCAATGAAGAAATCACAACATACAGAGACCACCGATCCTTACTCCCGAGCGACGCTTAAGACTCCGTCGTTCATCCTCTCTTGCTCAAATCCCTCACAGTATAGTAGGGATTAGTGGCGGCACTAGGTCTGGCTCTGATACGAATTTGGAAAAACCTTATTGTTTGATTAATGACTCGGGTTTACAGAGCATATATATTTTTGTATATAAGTCTCCAAACTTTTTTGTATTTTCTATTACTCAACAGAATCCTAAACTGTATACAATTTTCAATAAATCGTAGTTTCACACTTCAAATCTCGTCTCTCTTTTTTAGTTGTGAGTGCTAGTAAGGTTTTGGTGCATTTCATGAACAAGTTTGTAATTGTGCACAATGTGATACATATCGTTTATCACCTCTTTTATGATTAGTGTATAAATATTGAATAATTCAATGGAATGCGTGAAACAATTCTTAGCTTTAATACCTACTTAAAGAATAATTATATTATATAGTTGAATCTTAAGTATTATTTTCAACAAATGAATTTGCCCAAAATGCACCATAATATATACATATATATATATATATATATAATGTGTAGGTGAGCCGAGTATGTCATGGATTGGACTTGGCTTAGTCATATTATAAGTTCATATTTGACTTGAATCGAGCTTCACATATATGTTCATACATGGTGTGTTGAAATTTTTAATAATTGCACTTGATTTATAATTAACCTCCTTGCAATCAAATAATATAAATAAGTACTGACAAATTAGCTCATTGCAATAAAGAAATAAGAATAAATTATATTAGATATATATATATAGAATTATTTAATAAGTTGTTGAATAACGAACGAGTTTGTTCGTGAACATAGATAAATGAATCGAATCATGTTTATGTTTGTTTATGCTTAGTTCATTTAATTTCCAAGTTTTAAAAAAAATGTTTGGACTTGCTCATTCACTGATTTGAACAAACTTGATAGTGTATTAATGTAGTCAATTTCAGAGTTGTTCGTTGAGCGTATTATTTCATTTACAGCCCCCTACCTGTGCAAGATGAAACAACCTACAAGTTCACAGGGTACTCAATTTGTAAATTAGCCAAAAAACCAGCACCAAGAGCTAAGCTAATGAAGGAATACTAGGGCGCACAAATCATTTTGTTTATGAGGGTTGACATTTTGTTAGTGATTACTACATAATTCTTACTACCATTAATAAATAGGCCTGACATAGTCACAAACTTTATTAAGTTGTCCACTAGTCTCTTAAGAGGGGAATTCCACATTAACGAACATAGGACATCATTAGTAAAGGTTAAATAAAGTTATTACATCTTGCTTTGAAAAGGTGAGAGGATAATATTTTGTGAGGATTTCCAAAGAGGTAGAAGGTGTCAACTTGTTTGAGTCCTCTTTATGTATGTAAATTTCCCTTCCAGTTCTTATTTTTAGTCAAAAAATGCTTGCCTTTAGGTTCTTTTTATATGCTGCAGCTGCATACAAATTTGTTTTTGTGTTGCCTTCATGATAGGTAATGTGTGCATTAATAACATAATATTATATGTTGTCAGCTACTATTTGATTGATTGTAATGTTTGAGATGAATGTATTATTATATTTTTATTGCTGAGGATGGAAACTTATAAAACAATCTGTGTTCTTCAATTTGTCAATGCCGTGCTGAGTGTGGAATTGGGGATAAATACTGCTGAAGATGATTGTGAAAGGGAAAGAAGATATCAATGCCATGAGCAACTTGCTTGGTATCCAAGACTTTTAAAATGAAAATGTCTCTATTACTCTTGATTTCTTTTTTTTGTTCCAGTTGTGTTATATATATAACTAGGGCTGTAAACGAGCCGAGCTTGAGTGAGCTCAGGTTGGCTTGTTTGAAATAGCTCGTGTTCAAAATCGGCTCGCGAACAGTGTATTCATGTTCGGCTCAATTTAAATATTTGTGTTCCTGTTCGGCTCGAAATTGACTCGTTAAACTTAAATTGAGAAAAATAGATGTAAAGTGTGGGATTCGAACTTGGATCAAATATATACAAAAGAAGATACTGACCACATTGTCACATGATGTGTTATGATAAATAATATATGTAAAATATGTAATATATTGTTATATAAAAAATTATATATATACTATTTCGAGCTAAAATGAGCTGAACACGAGCGAACAAAGAGCTATTTGTTTTCGGCTCGTTTATAATTCGAGCTTTAAAAATTTGTTTGTGTTCGACTCGTATACTTAACGAACGAGCCGAACACGAGCTGTTCGCGAACGAGCTTTTTTGACAGCCCTATATATAACATTTTAGTATTAACATCAAGTAGATACATGAAAAGGCGTAGCTTTAAAAAATGTCTTAGGGATATTATTGATATGATGTTATAACTTTGAATGTTATATAAGTAAAAAATTAAATTTATAATGCTAAATATGTAAATACATAAAAAGGTTAAATTTTTAATGTATATATAAAATAAGGATAAGATTGCAATTTTAATGGAACCAGTGCTAGCTTTTCCAATTTCATCAGCACCAAAAACCTATATTTTTCTGTAAATAAATAAAAAATTGTTGTCCAAAAGCCTCATGAGAAAAGAAAAAGTAATATGAAATTGGCAAAATACCCACTTGGCTCACTTTATCATAATCACCACTAAAAAGTCCACAAAATCCCACGTTTTTTCACAAAGAGCACTCATTATCTCCAATTTATCAGTAATTAAATAATTTATCTCCTATTTAATATAAAGAACACTCATTATGATCATTTTTAAATCATTCCATTATTTTATTAGGCGGCCTACTTGGAATGTAATTAGTTGATGCTTCTCTCTAGATATTGTCACATACCTACCCCCACCATTAATAATATGTAATTTTACATAAAGACCGCATAATTCAATTGTATTTATATTTCATTCACTTATAACTTTCATATTTACATTTATAACACTTTGTTGTCATAAAATATGGGTAAGTGCAGTAATAGTGATGCTCTTATATGTAAGGTTATGGATTTGAATGCCATGCATGTAAATCTTGGAAGTTTAGATGTTAGATATGTAAATACTTAAGAATTGTGTGGCATGCATGCAAATGCCTCTAAATAATGAATTGTCTAGCATTAAGTTTGGCCGCCAGAATTTAATGATTTCAAATGTCGGCAGAATTTAAATAAATGATTTATGCTGATTTTGATTACAAGAGAGGAGGGCTGTCCTTTGTATAGTTGAGCAGATATGTAATGTTGCATTTGTAATTGAAACTTTATGACTCAATATTTGTGATGTTGGAGGTCCGAATCAAATGGTTAGATAGTCATCTGTTACGGACAAATAGTCTCATATTGGCTAGGTGTAGAGCCGAAAAACAGTATTTAAGTTCTGGGCTGCCCACCTCTCTTAAGGGCTTTTTTGGGAGGTGACAAGTGTTATCAGAGCAGATTGCTGTTTGACAGGTGTG